TGTGAGTGACTGCCATGATAGCATGCTTACCATGAGGCTATTTGCTTATGTGATATATTGGTGGAGCAGGAAAAAAAAGAAAAAGAAAAAGAAAAGGTAACCAATGAGAGAGAGAGGGGGTCAAAGGGGGTGGGGGAAAAAGAGGGATGAATCATTACTCTTTTTTTTATTCCCTGCCACATCATTAGAGCTCAATTAGAGCTCCAAAATTAGAGGGATGTATCATTGCTCTCCCAAAGCCCACCCATTATACAATGCCTTTGGTAGTGGAAGTGTGTCATGTATAGAGAAGTTTTTAAGTTCATTCAAAATGACATTTAAGGAGCTCTGATTCTGCACTTGCCAAATATGTCTCAAGCAATTCTTTTCCCATCCGGGATTAATTTGAAAATCGATTGTAGTTGTTAATGTACACTAAACCTAACCCACTACCCTAACCCACTACATTCACTCCACTAAACCTAACACACTTACCATCTCCACTACCACCCACCACCTCCACTACCATCCACTACCACCACTCACTTACCTCACACCTCTCCTATATAATAGCTTGTAACATACAAATCAACATACATCAATCAACATATCAATCAATAACAATCAATATTACATAAATTTCAACATGGTATCAGAGCGGGTTTAGAACCTAATATTTTTCGCTTCACCGGCGGACGGCAACCTCACCTTAGCCGTCCGCCGGACCTCAACCTATTCCTCTTATTTTCTATACATACCTTCACTCCGCTGCTCTCTCTCTCGGCAACTCTCTTTTCTGGGCAAAACCCAGCTTGTTTTTTTTTCCTGGTCCGAAACAATCCTGTTCAAGCCTCATATCCACCACATGGAATCAAGCCATAACTTCAGCGAGGAAGAACACGGACAGAACCGAAACTTCACCGCCGCCTTCTCCTCTGGCCAACGCCGACCATGCCACAGACACCACCACTGCCATCACCACAGCAGCCACGGGAAGCACCACATCACAGCCGCGTCTCATCGTTCCTCTTCAGATTAGGGTTTGCCGATTCTTTCTCCAGCCATGGCGGATGTTGAAATGGAGATAGCAGCAGGACAACCGAAGAAGAGGACATTCAAGAAGTTCAGTTTCAGGGGCGTCGATTTGGACGCTTTGCTCGATATGTCCACAGATGAGCTTGTTAAGCTCTTTACCGCTCGAGCTCGCAGAAGGTGATTTACATTTGTATGTATGTATGTTTTGTGTTATATATATATATTTTTTGTTGCATTGGTAGTTGCTTTGATTCATTTTTTATTTTTTATTTTTTGTGTTTGGATAATTTAGGTTTCAGAGAGGTCTGAAGAGGAAGCCCATGGCCTTGATCAAGAAACTCCGCAAAGCGGTAATGATTTGTTATGTTACTTTGATTTGATTTGTACTTGGATGTTGTAATTTTGACCTGAAATCTGTCGTTTGAGTATGTGATTGTGATTGCTTCAGTTTTGTTCTAGGTATAGGTCTCTTTTTGATTTGGTAGTAAGTTTTAGATTAATGCTTGAGGCCTCGAATTTGAGGTCTCGAAATTGCCTCGAAATTCTTTTTTTTTTTTTGCTGTGTGTTCGGTGTTTTTTTTTTTTTTAATCTTTGAGCGCATTGGCTTGATATGAAATGCATAGATACTATCCCTCCATTCTTTTTTTCCATGATTCTCCTGAATGCTTGTTTCACACTACGTCTTGTGTTATTTCAATATGTGGCGAGATGAATGCTTCTGTTGTTGTCAAAAGCTTGGATATTTCGGTGGCTGCATTCTTTAGGTATTGTCTACGTCTGTCATTCTATGGACCATTGTGAATCTGTGGTGGACATTACACTTTATTCAGAAATAATTAAATAATTAAGTGGAATTGTTTCTGGTTTTGGGGTTTTACTTCTGTCTTGAATATATGTATGATCTTTCTATGAGCTGGTGTCTCAGATGAAATTGAAAGGTGCACTCTGCAGACTAGTGATTAGTTATTGCAACGCTTGGACTTTCATTTTGTTTTTTATTTCAATTATTATTTACCAAGAAAAATTGAAGTTAGATGTGAACTACTTGTTAATGTAGGAACACTAAACGCATGAGATTTTTTCAAGCGCATTTTTAACACCAAAAAACTTATTGATAAGTATGTTATGATCCAATTTATCAAAATTTGAATGTTTGTAATGGTTTTAATCAATGTTGTGCACCTAAGAACATGTTTTCTAGATGTTATTGAATTTTAGGTAGGGAATTGCACTAGCTAGAGTATTTAGAAATGCTAGTAGAATAGATTAGATAATTCATAAAAATATAGTAATTGTAAGTCAATATTTGTTGTTACAATCGTAATACAAGTAATATGACAACACTAGTGGCTAATATAAGGTATGCTATATGTATTACCTCATTGATTCATGAGTTTACACGTAAAACAAATGACGTATATGACTCTTAATTTTTTGAATTAGTAGATTACCATTTAAAATTCATAGTTTTTATTTTAAATCAATAAGTTAGTAATATAGATTAATGAAAATAGGATTTTCAATTAAAGAATATGAAAATGAAGAATTTAAAAAGAGGAAAATAATTTAAAATAAAAGAATAATTTGAGTGTTAATGTTTAAGGAAGAATAAGAGATTTTCAGTTTAGAGTTTTACTTTTAAACATTTTTAATGTCTTAACAGAGGTAAAATTGAATATCGTACCATAACAGTGATGTAATGGCTTGTAATCTGCAGTTGCGTGCAGCTTTGACTTTTTTTGTTATGGAGCTCCAAAATCCCTTTATGTAACAGCTATTACATAATGTAGTGGCCGTTTTTTAAACTCATGGTTGTCAGTCTTGATTGCACAGAGCCAAAGCTTTCTGGTTAATTCTGGTTGATGGCTTCAAGTTTAATATATAATGTCATGAGAACTAATTTGTTTACATTAGAAACACCTTGCATTGTATCCTCTTGTTTAGAGATTGAAAAACTTGGGCAAGTGATTGAATGTTTCCTCTTGGTTAAGTCTAAGCTTTGTTATATGTCTTTTCTCTTTTGGTGGTAATAAAAGCTTACTTACCAAAAAAACAAAAAAAGAATGTTACAGATTACTTGACAAAAGCTATGATATGGATAAATTAAAACATAGAAAATGATACATTGTTTATTTTTCAGATTTAAAAATTCAAGTATTGTCATGTTGACAAAAATTCAAAACCTATTGCATATTTTTGCGTGTCATTTGTTATTCTCCAATCATGAAACACTAAGTTCTCTGTTTTGTTTACACATGCATGTCTATTACTTATTATTTTTTTTATACATGATTAGGTTCATGCATGTCTATTACTTATTATTTTTTTTATACATGATTAGGTTCATGCATGTCTATTACTTATTATTTTTTTTATACATGATTAGGTTCATGCATGTCTATTACTTATTATTTTTTTTATACATGATTAGGTTCATGCATGTCTATTACTTATTATTTTTTTTATACATGATTAGGTTCATGTATGCCTGTTATATCTTATCTTTTATGGATTTGTTTTATCTTAGACACGACCATACCGTGTCTCCTATCCTGTTTTATTTGTCAGTTTATTTTTTTCTGTTTTGTTACTCTCTTCAAACTTAAGTTGGTTAGTTCCTATCCTCCTTGAGTTTGAGGGGGGCTGTTAATGTACACTAAACCTAACCCACTAACCTAACCCACTACATCCACCCCACTAAACCTAACACACTTACCATCTCCACTACCACCCACCACCTCCACTACCATCCACTACCACCACTCACTTACCTCACACCTCTCCTATATAATAGCTTGTAACATACAAATCTTGTAATAACAACAATCAATATTACATAAATTTCAACAATAACTACCAAAATAAACATCATATATAATCAAATCAATCACATTGCATGTAAAAACAATAAATAACCAAAAAAAGGATGACCCCAAACTATAATAAATTAAGATAGATTCAGCATTAAATTTAAAAAGGAGCCACAGAGTTCATGTGATGGAAATATGAGTTGAAAGGGGCTACTACAAGCAGGAGTCCGAGTAACACCAATTGAAGATAAGATAAGTTGACAAACAATAAGCTAAGGCGGTTTGGTCATATACAACGAAAACCAATAGATGCAACACTAAGGAAAAGTAATATAATCACCATAAATAAAAATGTTAGCAGAGAGGAAGACATTAACTGACATGTGATGGAGTAGCAAAAAAATGTGGATTTATTCTATTTAACTGAACATATAGCTCTTGTCAGAGCATAATGGCGAAAAACGATTCATGTACCTTGCTTGACTGAGACACAAGGCTTAGTGTTAGGTCCCTTACTTTTATCAATCTCATGAACAAACATTGTTTATCGAGTTGTAATTTTCTTGGTTGTTTTGCCTTGCTTGCTCAAGCGCAGGAGTCCTGGCCCAAGCAAAGATGTCCTGCTCCCAGAAGTTGCCTTTGTCTACAAAAATTCTAGGAAGGATGATTGTGCGCTCGAGCGAAGAAAGCTTGGCTTGAGCGACACCACTTAAGGAAAACGCGCGTATTTGGTTCCTCGCTCGAGCGACCTTCGCAGCCTCTGTTTTCTATAAGTATGTGTTTCAATCAGTTTTAGGGTAACGTTTTCGAGATCTTCTTTAAGGGTTTTAGGGTTTTCTTTTGGGGCTATTTTGTTAATTTTTCTTGATGTTTGATTGAGTATTAAACTCAAGTTTTGATAAGCGCACATCAAGGAGTTTAATTGTTCATCTTTAAGAGTGTTCTTCTTCGGTGGAATCCGAAGATTCAAGCGCAAAGGAGTCGAAGGAGTTTGATGTTGTGCGCAGTCGTTGATTCGACAATGGATGTTGTGGATTCAACATCAACCTGATCAATTCCGAGACGAAAGTTGCAGTGAACAATATATAGATTGTTGAAGACAAATTGACAATGTTTGGGTAATTTGTTTGGTATATTTGTAATCTTTATTTCTTCAATAGTGGATTTGTCACGACCTGCTCCCCGTACCCAAGGGTTAAGCATCGTGATGGCCAGTAACTGAAGTTACCTACGGCCAATGCATAAACAAATTAATAAACGCAAGCGGAAGAAATATTTAAGGGTACCAAAATAATCATTGGAGTTTCTATTTTTATTACAAAATATATTGACCAAAAAGAGCGATACTTACATAGAAAAATATCATGAAAGTGTTGTGTGTGTCTATTCCGCAGCCCCGCATCTAAGACTTTCCAAAAGCTATTTCTGAATTGCATGTTTCCTGAAAATTTGTAAACAACTATAAGTACATGGCAGAGTGAGAAATATTATACCAAGAGTACAAGGGCCCAAAATAACCATGGATAGTTATGTAGTCAAAACATTTACATAACTCAGTTTGGTAAATAAATCATTTAAGTAGCAGAAACTGAAATACAGATATTATGTAAATATATTACCATAACTACGGTACAGAACAGAATAGAACAGAGCAGAGGCCACAGAAGTGACTGTCAGAACAAAGGTACGGATTCAAGAGGTGGCTCGTACAGATTCTAGAGGTGGCTCCCACAATAGTGTAGCACTTAGCTCCGCACAGCACTTTGGTCCGCACAGAACAGAGGTACATATTCAAGAGGTGGCTCGTACGGATTCTAGAGGTGACTCTCACAATAGTGTAGCACTTTGCTCCGCACAGCACTTTGCTCAGCACAAAACAGAGGTACGGATTCAAGAGGTGGCTCGTACGGATTCTAGAGGTGGCTCCCACAATAGTGTAGCACTTAACTCCGCACAGCACTTTGCTCCGCACAAAACAGAGGTCAATGGATCCATGACAAACAGAGGACCACAAAGTGGTCAAACAGAGGCCAATGGTTGTTTAAGTCCTCCAAGACGTGGGTCTTTCGTGATGGTACTTACAAAACATAGTTGCTTATAAGGTCATAGTCAAATATTCTTTAAAATATAAATAAACATATCTATGCGCTTCCTTTTAAGCAAATAGGGTTCAGAAGATAAACCACGTAACTGAAACCTTTATAAAACATTACTTTTATTAAAAACATAACTTGTATAAAACAGATTTTGGTAAGTTAAAACATACGTAAAATACATTTTGGTGACTCAAGATATAATATAACTCACCTTAACTTTAATACTTTACTCTTCTTTCCACTATCAAAGACCTTTTCAACTTCCACTATTTTTTCCTTTCTTTCTCTCTTTTCCTTTCTTCTTTCTTTCCTTTTCTTTCTTCATTCTTTTCTTTCTTTCTTCTTTCTTTTTCTTTTTTTCTTTTCTTTTCTTCACGCAGGTTGATCAACTCCTCCCTTAAATAGGGAGGAGGACGCCACAGGCGCTGAACACGTGGTAGGTGTTGCTTTCACTAAGATTTAATTCATAATTATATAGATTTATTCTTATCCTTAATAGATATTTAAGATAATTATCTTTTGACTCAATATTTTAATATAATTATATAAATTAATTAATTCTTAATTAAATTATACTTTATCATATACCAACAGAAAATAAATTATTTATTTTACTACCACACTCATTATTATTATTATTAATATTCGAAATAACCATGGATCGTTAGTTAGGCCAAAACATTTACATAAACAAATCATTTAAGTAGCAGAAACTGAAATACAGATATTATATAAATAGATAACCATAACCACGGTACAGAACAGAACAGAGCAGAGGTCACAAAAGTGATAGTCAGAACAGAGGTACGGATTCAAGAGGTGGCTCGAACGGATTCTAGAGGTGACGCCCACAATAGTGTAGCACTTAGCTCCGTACAACACTTTGCTTCCTACAGAATAGAGGTCAATGGATCCATGACAAACAGAGGACCACAAAGTGGTCAAATA